GAAGAGTTCTAGGCAAGTGGGTCATAAGTCCATGGGCACAGAGAACACATTTTTTTTTTAAGTTGAGTAAGGTGAGAAGTTGAAATGAGTAGGTGTTACCCACAAGGACAGAGGGTAATACCTGAAGTTCTAGTGTAACAGAAGAAGGCCCCAAGCTGGACACAACTTTCCAACTTTAAGATAATTAGAGTCAGGTGCCTGAGAGAAGAGAGTGGATGGGAGAGTCCCTCAGTGGAGAAATGTGAAATGATTTTGTCTGGAAGAGATAGGAACATAATTTACTGAAATAGCGGTTGGTTCTAAGCTGTATGAGGATTTAGCATGCAGAGATTCTGGAGGACAAGTTAAAGTTTTCTAGTTTGCATGCATTAATGTCTTGAAAATTTTGCATACAATATATTGTTATGCTATAAAGAGACAGGGAAGATTCCTGGAGTGTGATGCTTTCAACGAATCAGCAAAGTTATGAGCAGAACTAGATGGTTACCTCATCTACTTATAGCTATGTGGGAGGGTCTGGGTTGGTACCTTTTTATAGGATAGAGACACGACTAGAAAGATGCACCACTTTCAAAAGAAACAACAGCAAAACCAATATGAAAAGCAAAACTGACATTTGCCTATTAAAAATCAATGAAGAATAAAAGGGTAAATTACTGAGAGGAAGGAAACTGATTGGAAAGAGAAAGGGCTAATAAAGAAACAAGATTTGATACCTCAACTCCCCTCTCCTAATGCTAGAAGCCATTAAGTCATACATCTACCTTTGTAACAAATGAAGAAGAATGAAAAAGAGGATTTAATATTTTCTGGATCTTAAGATCAATAAATTACTAAGTTGCTAACTTTTCTAGAGAATCCTGCAACCTGTTGACTGCTGTTTCTACCAACTGACAGTCATTTTTTTTAACTTCTTTGATAGGTTTACAGAGCCTGGTGCTGACCTATGTCAAAGCCATTAGTAGTGGAGAACTACCCTGCATGAAGAATTCTGTCCTGACTTTAGCACAGATAGAGAACTCAGCTGCGGTGCAAAAGGCCATTGAGCACTATGAAGAACAGATGAACCAGAAGGTCCAGTTGCCAACAGAAACCCTCCAAGAGCTTCTAGACATGCACAGACCCATTGAGAGTGAGGCCATTGAGGTCTTCATTAAGAAATCTTTTAAGGATGTAGGCCAAAAGTTCCAGAAGAAATTAAGGGTATGTGTGGTACTCAAAACCTAAGACAAAGGAAAACATGTTTTTTTTTTTCCTGGGATGTGATTGTACTTAATCTCCAATACAGTGACACTCAGTGATGTGTACAGATTTGCAATGGCTATTGAAAGATTATATTCTGCTGGAGTTTCATCAAAAAGCATGATACCAGCTAGTCATGTTTTGCACACTCATGCACATGTGTGCATATGCAGACACATACACATATTCCACTTTTGTTATTTTCCTCACTCTGGAAACCATGTTCTCAGACACTGAGGGAATTACACAACTGCATTCACAAAGTGTTGTTTCATTAACTTTTTCATAATGTAATATTTTTATTCTTTGAGAATTTTAAATATAACATGTTTTTATAATATTCATTTCTAATGTAGTTTTTATAGCCAAGGAATTCCTTGCTTTTGTGCTCTGCACTAGCAATGAGAAACTAAGATGGCTTACGGATGCTTTGCCCTTTGATCAGTGGCAATGCTTCTCAGATTACCAAGGCAGGATTTTAAAAGGACATCTGGCTTCATTCAGAAGTTCTGGGGAAACAAGGCAGTCATTGTGAAGAAGACACTGACTACTCCTCAACCTAAATACAGAAGTTGATATTTAGTTACTTGCTTGATATCAAATAGAGAGATAGCTCTTCTGTTATGCTTTCCAAACATAGAAGATCTCAACATATCATCTTCAGTGCTTTCATTGTTTGTACAGTGAGAAAATGCAGGGAAATATTCATGTGTTAAAGAGCATTGCATAATAAATGTTCTTAGACTTTACTGAGTGTTTCTTTAGCATCTCTGGACTTAGTACTCTGTATTAGCTTTTACAGTCTGGCAAGAAACCTCTGATATTAGTGGTGTCACCTCCACCCTTATAGACAAGGAAGCCTCAGTCCACTAATGACATGTTCATGACATCACAGAAAAGTGGGTTCAGGAAGTCCGTACAGGCGGCCTCCCTTGAAGCAGTGTCTGTGCTCTGGAATTATCTCTGAAGAAGGAGAAAAGAGATCAAGGTGTTTAGGAAATCAAATTTGAAGTGTCAATTGGGGTAGTCAACACCCTCCTCATGGGTATCTTGTATGTCACAGTGAGATGAAGAGCATGGCCCCATTTAGACATTTCCCAGCAGTCTGTTGTGTTGCCTCCATCCTCTCAACCATCTTTGTGATTTTATCCTTACCCAGGACCAGCTGGTAGTGAAGCGAGATGCTTTTATTAAGAAAAACATGGATGTGTCATCAGCTCATTGCTCAGATTTGCTAAAGGATATTTTTGGACCTCTGGAAGAAGAAGTGAAACAGGGCACATTTTCTAAACCAGGAGGTTATTACCTCTTTCTTCAAAAGAAACGGGAGCTAGAGAAAAAGTATAACCAGACCCCTGGAAAGGGGCTCCAGGTAAATTGAGTAGTTGGTACCATTTGAAGGTGCTTAGTGAGGAATCTCTTCCAAATGACAGTGAGAACACAGAAGCTGCAATGGTGTTGGCAGAGAGTACCCTTGTCGTTCATCCATCTAGGCAGAGAGCTAACCTCGAGACAGACAGCACCTTTCTCCTTGGAAGCACAGAGGGACTTCTCAGAAATGTTTATGGAATTCATGTATTCACAGAACACTTCAGGCATCTAATTTTCAAAAATGATTTATTTGGCTTTGTGAGTTGTGGCCTTCTTAGGTTGCTAGAGAGAAAATGAGTAACAAAAAGGGAAACTAATTAAAAGTTATGTTCATTCAAAATATTTCAAGAATGAAGTAATTTATACCCATGAACAAATGATATTTATCTGTTAGCACTTAGATAGCTCTTCCAGTGTTTCAGAACTTTATTCTCTTAATTCTCACACCCTCACACAAACCATGCATTTTTAGTGTGTCATGAAGAGAAACAGAACAGCAGGCCTAGTGAATCAAAAGGCTTCTAAGATCACACAGTGATCTGGAACTCTTGAGTGCAGTGCTAGCCATCATAATCTGTATTTTTTATTTCTAGACTACTGTTTGTTGAAAATAGAGTTTAAGATTTGGTTTGACTTTAAGATCACACAGTGAAGGAACTGGAAATCTTGAGTGCAGTGCTAGCCATCATCATCTGTATTTTTCATTTCTTGACTACTGTTTGTTGAAAATAGAGTTTAAGATTTGGTTTGACTTTGAGTTATTTACCAACAACAATCTCTTTAAATGGCTAAATATTTCTCCTTTTTCTCATGGACATGTCGCCTGTTAAGAACCCAGTGCTGCTGTGGTGGCTTCACCAACTTCTTCACAGGCATCTCCTTTGTTCTCCAGAATGTTAGTCTAGGGACTCCATCTTCAACCTGTTTCCATAATCTAAGACAGCTGCTGGCACATAATGCTTTACTTCAAATGTATGCCATGGAATATAAAGGAGGTAAAAAAGGACAAAAGCATGGTGCCTCAACTCCTTTTAAAATTTTAAGGCACTTTTCTGATTATATACCTTTCATAATAATTTACACCCATGTGCATTCCATACTTACAAGAGATTCTGTAATTTACTTTTGATAAACTTTGAGGAAAATATGAATAGACCATTCATAGATGTTAGACAGAAAGAAAAGTCTAACATCTATGTAGAGGATGGGAATTTCAAACAACACATCCATAACAGTATATTATTGTGTATCTGAGGCATAGCAAGAGACCCAAAGTTCTGGGAGACAGTGCACAATGCAGAGATTATCAAGAGAAAAAGAGACTATAATCCAGACAGAGAGCATCTTATAGGACACTGGAAAATGTCTGATGCTCATTTTGATGAGCTATAAAGTCATCTTTGAGCATTGGAATAATAGGACTGTCCTTAAAATAACATTGCAAAGTTCTCCTTACTCTGAGATAAAAGTTCTGCAGTAAGTAAGTATGATCTGGGGCTGTGAGACTTGTATGAACAGATGGCAACCAAAAGCTGAGTTTACAGTTTATGAAGCTAAAACCAACATGATCAGCTCATGGTGTTATATTAGATTTGTGAAAAAGAAAACCAAAGGGATTGAAGATACAACTACTTCAAAAATTTTATGAGATTCTAAAAGATGGGGCTATGGAATGGATTGGATTTGGAGAGGGGCTCTCTAAGTCAGACTTAGGTCCATTAAATGTAAGAAGCTATTTGAATTGCTACATTGCTGGTAACACTAATGTCGGTTAACACACACATTGGCTTGTCTTCAACTTATTCTATACAACTAGGCAGAAGAGATGCTGAAAAAGTACTTTGAGTCCAAGGATGACATGGTTGAAACACTTCTAAAGACAGATCAGTCACTCACGGAGGCCACAAAGGAGATTGAAGGTGAGAGATGCTGGGACTCCAGTGGTTGGAAGCTCCTGATGCATTTAGCAACACTGGTTCATTAGAAATCATCATTGCAGAGATAAAGAATCACAAGTCTCTTTCGTGGCATTCTGTTTTTTAACTGGCATATATGGTTATATGGTTCCTTATCCATTCATTATTTCCTATATATATCACCAGAAGAAAATGTATCGACATGAGAATTTTTTGAAGGAGTGACTTATAATAATTTAATCTGTATTCTTTGCTTTTCCCCCTCAGTGGAACGTATAAAGGCTGAAGCTCTTGAAGCTACCAACAGAGCTTTAGCAGAGAAGCAAAACAAGTATGAGCTGCTGATGGCAGAGAAGGATAAGAGTTACCAGGAGCATATGAAACAGCTCACTGAGAAGATGCAGCAGGAACGGGTACAGCTAATGGCAGAAAATGAAAAAATTATATCTCTCAAACTTAAGGTACTTGATCATATCATCTCAGCAAGTTCCTGTGTGCCAATCCAACATGAGTGTATCAGGCTGGGTGTTGGGGGTGCTCGCCTTTAATCCAAGCACTAAGGAGTCAGAGGCAGGTGGATCTCTGTGAGTTCCATGCCTGCCTGGTCTATAGAGCCAGTTCCAGGACAGGCTCCAAAGCAATACACAGAAACACTGTTTTGAAAAACAAACAAATATCAAAAAAAGAAACAAACAAGAAAATAGTATATCAGGGTAGTGAAAATCAGCTTAGTAGCTAAGAGCATTTATTGCTCTTTCATAGGACCCAGGTCTGCTTCTCAGCAACAATGGCTTACAACAGTCCGTAATTCTAGTGCCCCTTCTGGCCTCTGCAGATACTGTATATATATGTTGCATCTACATACATTGCAAGTAAAACACTCATGCACTTAAAATAACACCAATAAATCTAAAAATCAAACAAGGAAACCAAAATGAATTTTGTCAGTAGGCTGAGTCAGGAGGATGACTGGTCCCATTTGAGCCAGGGTTATGAAGTAAAACCTTCCCAGTAAAGACTCCTGCAATAATGTTAATAGTTCAGATATGCTGACACATTTTCCTTCCCTCACAACTTATCTCCAGCTGTGTCTAGTAAGAGCTGTTTATGTCTGGACGAAATCTGTTATTAGGCTATCCACAGACAATGACTAGGGGTTACTCAGCACTGCTTATGTGTGTCCAATTTAACAACAGGGGTTTATTATCTTGTGCTGGATGTAGACATTGCAATTTTATCAGAATGCATGATACAATATTCAGCCTAGTTTCTCCACTAAATAGACCCAGCATGGATTTCATTTTTGCCATAGCTAATATGGCCTTGTTTTTTGGAAGAATCCTAATGAATAATGAGAATCCCTAACCATCTACCCACCCAAGCACATTGGTTAACTGCTCAAATTGTAGAACTCTTCCTTTATTCATGCATTCTTCTGCATTGTTGTTTGTTGTACCAAGTCCCAAAGATACCCAGAGACCACCAGGAAGACAGACAGACACACCAAACTGTGAAAGCAAGGTTTTATTGTTCATACAAACATGGCAGGGATCCCATCTGGCCAGCTGACACTGCAACCTCCAGAGGGAGCGTAGTTCCCTGTCTACTGCTAATTTTTAAAGACAAAAGTTACAGGATTACATCAGTAGCCACAGATTGATTTCTGTTTGATTGACATTTGGGAACAATCAGGAGAATTTCTCAAAGTGTGTGTGTGTGTGTGAGTGAGTGTGTGTCATCCACATTGTTGCAAATAGTTCTGAATTGTTTATTCTCAATGTGTAACATTACATTAAAAGAGTGTATTTATTGCAACTGACAAAAATAGTGTGGTTTGTCTTCTAGTAAATAAAGCTTGCTCAGAGTCAGAGGGCAGAACTAGCCACTAATTAACCAGAGAATGTCTGGAGGACTGTACAGAGAGACAGGAAGTGATGAGGATCCCACCCTTTTGGACTGAGGATGGAGAGAGGTAGAAGGCAAATAGTGGCTGTTCCAAGTTCTCTGATCTTTCAGGTTCTTTTCCCGATATTTGACTCCTGATTTTTAGTGATAAAAATTAATTAGGTTAACTCTTCAAAAAAAGCAATATAAGAAATATGAAGTTAATTTATTCTGACAGTTGAGGTATAGTCCACTATGGCAGGGTATTAGGTGTCTAGTCATATTGCCTGGCAGTTAGGAAACACACATGAACACTGATACTGAGCTTTCTTTCTCCTTTCTTCTCATTGTATTCAGTCCAGGATCAAACCCACAGGATGCTGCTGGCTACATTCAGGATGAGGGCTTCCTTCCTCAGCTACACCCTGTGAGAACCTCAGGACACAGTTTCTTCAACATATTTCTGTCATCTAGCTCTGTCACTAAAAGTTTGGACATGTGCTAAATTCCTTGATTGAACACCTGCCAAAATTCTGAGTCCAGTAATAGCCTTCCACTTGGTTTGCACCCATCTTTCTTATCTTCTTAGGAGTGTTTGAGAATCCACACCATAAAATCAGAGATGAGGCAAGAAAGAAGGCAGCTCTCTGTAACTTAATCAAATTATTATTTCCTATTCGTTTGCATTCAGTCTTCTATTTTTTTCTCAGAGTCCAAACAAAAAGAATCCACTTCCTCAAAATTGAGAATTTTCTCCAAAATTTACTTGGAAGTTCCCCCACTTCTTGCAACTTTTCTCCCAGTTGCCATTCATCCATTTGGCTTGAGGGATTCCACTCTATAAGTAAATAGTGAGCAAAGTGAAATTATTTTATATACCTGCTGTATTTCCTCCAGACATACCAATTCTTTTTTTTATGATACCTTCAAGCTTTGTTCATGGAATGGGAGAAAGAAAAACTCCTCATATGATATACTGCTGATGTGGCATTGGTTTCCTCTGGGCGTGTTTTCAGTCCTTCAAGTCCATGGAAAGTTTGAATTTTTGGAAGATGCCTAAGCTGGAGCCTCCCTAAACCACTCTCTTACTGTGGTCCTCTCTGACTTCTCCCTCATACCCACTCTTCTACAATATACTCAACAAGACGGTGAGGACAGTGTTTCCAAGTTTACTCTTTGGAAGACCCAAGTTCAGAAAAATACCAGGAGTCTTTCCAGGAAACAACTCATGTGCTTAGCTACACCTTGGAGGGAGTGTGTCCTCAAATGTACACATCACTCCTGTTTCATCACAACTCACTCCACCCAGTGTCTGGTGTTAGATATTTCAGAGCACACTCAGCTCACAAGTCCTAGCACCCACACATTCTAAAATAAACTTGCCATCTCTGAACAGGACCTCTCAAGCTCCCATATCTACTTAACTTGGAAAGAGAGTGAGAAAGCATAATGTTACATGCTCCCATCAGGAGCTGGGGAGACAGAAGGGAGCACCTTCATATTTCTCTCCATGGAATCCTCCCTTGCCAATCTCCATCTCTCTAACAGATCCTCAGGTGCCTATGTGAAAGGTGGTGGAAACACAAACTGTTGTACAATTTTGTAGTTTTGTGCTTTTATGAAAGGAATAGTCACAGCTTTAATGTTGAAGGGTAGAGCTAGAGACATGTAACCCAGAGAATTTGAGTCTATGTAAGAAGAGCAATAGGCCCAAATTAAACCCAATTGTCTTTCCTCTCTGAACCTGGGTTGATCATGTGAAGCAAATGTCAGGAATCTTGAACTGGTATGAAAAGCCAGTATAACCCTTTGAACTATATTCACCATGAAATGAGGATGACCAACTCATATTGGAAAAATTGAATGAACTTATCATAATGTCTGTCATGTAAATTTTAAATATATCATTCTTTCAGGCAGATACTTCACATTATGTTTATTTTTAAATTATAATCATTAACACATATTAATTTCACAAATGACTAGAATCCAATGTTATACTTTTGTAAATGCTTACATGGTGAATTGATCATATTACCTACTTTCCATGGTGTTTCCTCCATAGTCTCTCCCTACTTTTCAAAGTCTTGTTCAGATTTCCTTATATTCTTATTTTCTATTTTAGGTTATCTTTGTTTATTTTACATAGGAGGGGAAATATCCAATTCTGATATTTCTGTGTCAGGGATGTATCACTTAGCATGATATCCTACAATAATATCCATACTAATGAAAATTACAGGATTTCATTCTTCTTTATGGCAGAACCTACTTCATTGCACACATACCC